TTTAGGTTAAAGATTAATTTTACGTAAATACATACACAGAATAAATAACAACTGTATAGTCACTTTAATTCTGTAGCGTACCAATGACTACACGAGTCATTTATTTTTACCAAATTTCATATTCATTTTTAAGTATGAATAATTCAATCGCATCTACATCATTTTATTAATGAAACGAGTGCTGCTATCGTGTCTCACGGGTACGCATAGGTATTTTTCTGTTAATATAAAATAATCGTAAAATCGTCATCGTCGGATTACTGATTTTACATCTTAATAATATCTATTAAGTATTCAGTAGCACGACATTTATTCGCGAGATACATTATCAAAGTGCGAAGTTGCATAATCATCCGCAGTTTAATGTAACGCTAATACTATTATTAATTGAACTATCATGGATATTTGTCTACAGAAAATTAATACTTGTTCATCTGTTCTGAACAGATATTTTTCAGATCAGGTACTCTGGAACGACTAGAAGCTCAGCGGGACGAGAAGCTGACTGGGCACATTATTCTTTTACAAGCGAGATGCAGAGGTTACCTGGCACGTCGTAAACTCAACACGTTGAAAGTATGTCATGACTTCTTCTTAAACCTGTAAAAGTGTACCTTCGACTGCGTCTCTACACAGCACATTCTCCGTTTATTCCATACAACTTTTAAATGCTTTGCTTTTCCATTACAATTCGCACACGCTCGCAGATCAAAAGCAGCGTTACAGTCTCCTAATCATTTTACAATTTTCAGTGACTTCCGGTGAAATTAGCTTTCTAATATCCAACCACTCTGTGATGTAACTGTGTCGGTGATCCTACATGTATTTTGAATTAAATATCTTTTATTTGGTATCGTATATTTTACGTAACAACGTTAATTCGACTGGTTTTATTTTTAATTTGCTCCGATGATGAAAGAAATTCTATATTATTATAATTTAGATCAATTGACCGTAAATTGATCGACCCTATCATTGTGCAGATCACTCACGTAGATCGCATACGTAACTGCGAACATAAGTCCTCTCGGGCGCAGTTAATTAATAGTAAATCTTTTAATTCGAGGATATACATTAGTTTAAAGCTTTTGTATAATGTTAATGTTTTTGTATATGTGTATATAGAGCGTAACGTATCATGCAAATTAATCCTCCAACATTTCGCACTTCTTCATTTCTCAATTGTAACTTCCTAGTAGAGTGTATGGAGTAATATGTGCTGATTCAGAATTTACTTTTTAGTCAATTGCATTTTATCTCTCCCATTGGAACATACAAATACACAATGCACGTAAACATTAGAGCAAAAATTCAAATCAAGAGATACATATGTATTATATTCTTCTGATTAATATTCTTTTTTTCTTGCATTTGTGATTTAATTAATCATTTGGTACCATAGTTCTTAAGTTATACTATTCAGTATTTAGTTACTTACGCGACTAAACATTTTCATTCAACATCAATTTTTTTATTGTAATTACGCTCAAGAAATTTAGAAGCTCCGGTCACCAATGATCATTGTGGCGGTCAACGTGTTAGCAGGTTCTCAGTTGGTATCGTTAAATTTCACTGTACACTTTTGTTATTAAAAACAGAGTTATTCCCTGTTAATTGATTACGTAAAATTCTTTTACTATATGAAATTTGCAATTTGGATATTTGCATAAAAATGATATATTAGTTATCAGTGTATTAACACTAGAACTACCAGATGGGTCAGAATGACTTATTTCCGATTTCCTCTTTTACAATTACTGAAATGGTACAGATATATCTACGAAAAATTATTAACGGAACTAATTCAGTAACACTAAAACTGAAATGCAATTCAATTAAAATCTCAATAAACGCACACTTATGGTTTTTATAAAGAAATTTGTAAAAGTCAGTTTAAGTGATCGGTAGTTGTAATGTTAATTAAAACTATTGTACGTGTACGTAATATTTTCTACTTCTGTATTTGCCATTCAGTTTCTAAACAAAGTTATGGTATACATACCAAAGTATTACTAGAATTTCTTTTGTGTATTAGAAAACGCACATTAACAGTAACATTAACATTAGTAAGAAATCTGTTACTTGATTCGCGTTCATACGTTGACATGACACGATTGTCGCAGATGATATCTCGAGTGACACAGTAATGACATTCACTTTGTAACCAGTGGGCTAAAACTGATTCGGATCTACTTTTAATACCACGATACATGACTTTGATATCGCAATGCTTATTCAGTGTTACTAACCAGTGTGACAACGTTTCATTCTCATTACTTTTGAGACAGACCACGTATAAGCTTGGCGGACGACGCGCATCGTGCATTGCATCTCTCACTAACGATGGAGGTAGCGTAGAGAAAGCCCGTTTTGCTCCTGTGGAAAGGTTCAGCTTGTTAACCGATAAAGACGACTTGACTCGTCAATTCTATTTGGCTGTATCTTCCAATATTTTTTCCTTTCCTCTTTATTACATTCACGGAGACGAGAAAATCCGATTCAATCTTAACGTTCTTACAAATGTAAATTAACTCTCATTCACATGTGTCACAAGATAAGACGTATCGGATTTGTACTGATTTTCATTTTTATTCTGATTTTTAATTAGACAAAGATTCAATCTGGCTAGCAAATTTACAGATTAACATATTCGTGACCGTTGACGCGAATTCACGTTTCTTCAAATATAATAACTTACAAAATATTTTATTCTAATGTTCTTTAACATCCGCGACTTTTGTAACTGAAGTTTCTTCATTTTAAACAACGGATCGTTACAAGATTGATATTTCACAACAAATTTTCTAGATTTTGACCTTGTTTTAATGTCAGATATTTGCGGCAATTAGCTCAAGATTTTCTTCATTTTCACCGGCAATGAGTATTAGAAAAGCAAAAGTTTACCGGTTGAGAATCTGTTAAAAGCTACGACTAGGAAGATAACACCAGAACATCCGCAACTAAAATGAACGATATTATTAATTAAAAAATATAACGAAGTGTAAAAGAATGTTATAGACATTTCACTTTGTATAGTATACATTATTGTAACATCATAACAATTGAAACTTATTAATCCTACTAAAAATTGCCGTTCCAAGTTTCATTGTAAAATGAAGTAATCTAAGAAGGAAAATTAATTTACTGATTAAAGTTTTCGTATAATTGTTCATTTTACATCATGAACAGTAAGGTATAAAAAAAATAATTATAACAATAACATTCTGCATTATTTTGGGCTAATATAAACAGTTTTCAAACATTTTTTATCTCTCTTCGTCTGTTACTACAAATAAATGTTCGTTGAAGCAGTTTTATACCACTTTTCCTGTAATATAGTTTTCATAACTATAGAAAATGTCTAATATTTTGTCCAAAGTCCTTTTGCTTTGCGAGATAAATTAAATCATTTTGGCATTGATTCTATTAATTTTCTGCAATAATCGAGATGGATTTTTTCTCATTGATCTGAATAGGTTATTCTGAAATGCAAAGTTTTTTGTATTTAGCCAATTTTTATATTATACAATACATAATGAACCAATGTATAATATATATTATAATTATTTTTTGTATACCTTACTGTTTATTATATAAAGTAAAGAATTATACGAAAACTTTAATCATCGAATCAATTTTGCTCTTTATTGTATCTAGATACATTTCGATTTACTGATTAGAAGAGAAGAAAGAACGTTTGCGTCGCTTTCATTCGTTTATTAATTGTCTAGCAGTCTATATACAACCAGTTTCACTACTCGATATAAAGCACATTACCCTTTGATATAATAATTAACCGCTCGATACGTTTCACTGCATAATTTTATGAAATACTCTATTCTAAGAAGACTACACTTAAAATTATCATCAAATATGTATAATATTTTGTAGTCGCTCCTTAACCACTGAACGAGGACTAATTTCAGCTAAATCTTAAAAGTTGATCACATATCGTTGTAATAATATAATAACGTTCTTCACCGTTCTTCAATGTACTACCCAACTACTTCCGAGAAGAGATTTCATTAGCATTTCTCTAATTGTAAAAAGAAAACAGTAAAATATTTATTAATACATCATGTACTTTCAATTTTTTTTTTAATAACTTTTTGTATCTTACATTAAAGAAACACGAGTAAATTGATTTTTATAACATCACCCGTTCATTAGACGTATTAACAAGGAAGTACCCCGATGTAATAATTATCGCATTTGTTACATTGCACAGAGATAAAGTACCAAAAACTATTGGTCACGTTCCGCTTGCGAATGGAACCTATACAACGGATGTTCCTAACATTAATTAGAATTCTTGTTTCCTAGAAAATTTAATTTGCTGTAAAGTATGAATTCGATGCTACTTGTTCGTAGAAAGACAAGCTTTGATCTTATTTTTGTCTTAATTGTTTACATTTTATAGTATATTATAAGTAAATTTTCATTCTTCCTTCACAAACACTGCAGTCTTTGCAATTAACACATTAGTCTTCTTAATTCCAGAGTGGTTAATATTTCTTCTTGCGTCTCATCTTTTGTAATCAATACTTTCCATCTCATAATAATCGTATCGTAATAAGAAATTGAAATCAACGTTCAAATCTGCTTTCATTTTCCTGTCTACATGTTATAAGTTCTGTTGTATATATTATATATAATCATTACTTATGATTCATATACTTTATAGTAATCCAACGATAAACGTGACTCATTTTTTCAGTTACAAGATCTTGCGGTTAGATGTATACAGAGAAACGTTAGGAAGTGGATGTCTGTACGAGAATGGCCATGGTGGAGATTATACGTAAAAGTTGCACCTTTATTGAACGTGCATCGGACCGAAGATCAGCTGAAGGCAAAGACGGTGAGAATTTTACTTTTTATTTCAATAGTGACTTTCATTCTGGTACAAGCAAAGAAATTGTAAACAAAATACAAAATTGAATTACAGAGTGGGAAATTAATACTGATTATAAATTATTGCTTTCCCTGATTAGGAGGAGCTCGAGATCCTCAAAGCGAAGGTCGAGAGGTTGGAACAAGAACGCAATCATCTGAAACATGATAATGATATATTGGAAACTAAGGTACGATAAATAATTGCTTGTCATTTATTCTTCAAACTAAGTTGATTTTCGAATTTTCATACCAGTAAATTATGGGTTTTATTCGAATGATAGTTTTCCTAGTTGATTTTAAGAAAACACGAATCGCAATAGTGAACAGATGTTTACTGAATTACCTTGAACTGGTGCATGAAATCCGCAACGTCTATTTATCAGATGTAAAAATGTAAAATTATTTTCACGTTACTGACAATCGTCTTCTAATTATGCATTGAACAAATGCTTGTATACATCTTAAATCTCGTATCTTCTGCGTTCTTTGTTCATTGTATCATAAACTGGAAACATTATCCGCTTCAGGATAAAAAGAAACTGTTTCATATTTCACATATTATGAATGCTCTCTGTTCCTATACTGAAAAAATAGTAAGGTTGGTATATAACAGAGTTTGTATCAACCTGAAACTACGAGTATATCTTTTTGAAAAAGCATTAACCCTTTGCACTCCTGTGTCGAATAAGACTCGACATCAGATTCATTCAAAAGTGTGCATCCCTATTGACACATTTTAAAATTATATTATTATACAATTTTCAATAATATTAGTAAACAGAATAGACATGTTTCCTATCATCTAACCTAACTAATTTTGTTCGAAATACATTTCAAATGAAACACTGTAAACAATACGAAATTATTGGAAAGAAAATGTAGAAGACACTCCGAGTGCAAAGGGTTAAATACATTGAATAATCTGTAATAAAAATGATTAACATCTTTCGAAACAATATTATACCAAATTTAGTTCTCCTTTAACGAGACAAACTCCATATTACAATCTGATAAAAGATTGTAGCCAAGAGAAACGGTTATATTGCGAATATTGTATCATATAGATTGATCAATGATTAATCTTCTAGTTTCTTCAACAAATTTACCATTTTTTCTCAGCAAATTAAAAAACAGTGCCTTTCCAATAAATGATTTATTTATTAATTTCTACGGTATTGAACGTCATGTATACTAAAGATTAGGATAGTAATAGGAAGGTAATAATAAATATCGATTCGTGTATTATAATATTCCGTTTAGATGGACACAACGACGTATCCGGTTATTAATTATCATAATGTGTATCGTGCAATTAGGTTAGCCATAGTACACGGACCGTGTTGCGAGGAAATGGTTATCGCGGTATGAATCTGACCAACGAGCCATCACAAACTATCATATCGCGTTACAGTTGGATAATAGTTCCACTGACCGATATTTCTTCTTGTTTTGAACGAAACTTAGTCGTGCACTAAATTATTCGCTTGATACATAACTCAAAAAACTTGTTGCTTCCAGCATTAATAACTTTATCACAGATTTTAACAACCAATCGCTCCATTGGTAGATTTTCTGGTAGACGTTAATGTTCCTCGATACGAACGAACCAATGAAGAAGTTTCAAAAAAAGCCAATGTACCGTCTGATTAGACTAAAATTTTATAAATCTCGAGAAGAACGGTTTCCGCAAAATGATTCGTGCGATATGAGTTCTACTGCAATCATACGAATAGATCTCACGCGCATCGTCGATTTGACTATTTTATTAACCCTTTGCACCCGAGAGGTGATTCACTCATCGCTTGATTTCATGCAGTAAAACTATAAAATTTGATATTTAATATTATGCTCTGTATAATGTATCTATTTGAGAAATACTGAAATAAAATAAATTCTCTTCGAGTTATTTTCACGAAATATCGTCTTTACCTCATCAGAAAATGTTCAAATATTTCTAGTGAAAACTTCCGAGTGCAAAGGGTGAACACATTGAATGCCATGGGAGTCACCGGTGACCCCCAACTAAATCGAATTATAATAGTTTACTCAATTAAACGATGATTATTTGAAAACATTTCTACAGTTTAAATAACGTTACCTAGTGCAATGACATTCAGCTAGATGAACGTGCAGCAATAATAATGCAATTCAATCTAAAGATTGAATACTTTATCTTTTTCAATTCGTGCATTTTGATGTATGAAATCGTACGGCAGTCAACGTGTTAATATTACTTAGACATTCCACCGTGAATTTTTCGTTTAAAGAAGTTTCGAAATAAGGCTGCCATGAAAACGAGAAAAAAGGAAAAAGAGAAGGTTGCACGGTTGGATGAAAGTCGTATCAAAGCTGCAGAAAAGCTGCAGCGGGTCGCGTTTGTTCGTCCCATTCGATCCCAGCTGATCCATTTTTCGATGGAATCTCGAAATCCGTCCCTTCTCCCGTCCTCTATTCAGCGAAACTTTCCTCGTAGACTTTACAGAAGATTTGGCGTGAAGCCAAGACTGTGGCTAGATCTCGTGTTCCCTAGTACTCCTCACCATCCGTTCTTCTGTCTTCTTCACTCTCTCCGTTTCACTTAGAATAACTCGAAGGTGACCGTCGTCTTCTTCAAGAAACGTAACCGACCCGAGTATCGGCTGACCCAAGAAGAGTTAGTTGCACCGGGACTCCCTCTCGATACGGGCGTTGCCGTTCGATGTTACGCAATTAAACGCTGCGCTCGTGGCGAATCATATCCGATGACCGACCCGATCGATGCGATCCATCGAAATCGAAAACGAATTTGAGATGCGGAGCACGCGGAAGCCGACCGGCGAACGACCGTCTATCCGTTGAACGCGTTACTGTCGTTACCGTCGACGATATTGTGCCAAAAGAAACGGTCGAAACGGTCGAAACGGTCGAAACGGTGAACGCGCGTAACAGTGAGCAACGTGTAACACCGTACGCTCGGATTTGAAACGAAAACAGCAAAACTCCGCTCGCTCTGCTTTACTTCTCAATGAAGTGTAACCATTAATATTTGTGTAGCCAGTGTATGACACTTAACGTTACGCTTCCCATTAATATTTGTCGAAACGAAGGTATTACGTATTCTATTCTAGTACACATTACTCCCGACGAACACAAGACGAAATATATCCACTATGAGACACGAATCGCAACGAACGGTACCACTGTGCGCCGGGATCTATGTACAAGTTACCGAGAATGTATGTAATACTCGTTCGAATCTGGTTGACGCATCGAACGCGTGTACAATCCACACCGAGCGTAAACGTACAGTTATTTCGAAATGAAACGAAAGTTCCCGCATTCGTTAACGTTTAACGTATCGCTGTCTTTTTGCACAGTATCGTCATCGAAACGTCATCAGGGTTAGGTCAATTTTGGATATCGAACCGCCGAGAGGATTAAAACATTAAGAAGATGCCGTCCGTGCCGGTAACTTACTCGAACGAAGTTTCGCGGAGTCCAGCAGAGTCGCCGTCGACTCTCGAGAATTTCTTGAACGACAACGAACCAATAACCACCACCCACTTGTCTGGACCTGTAAATACTCTGAATCTGTTGCATCTGTCGAAAAGACCACCGCTGCCGCCGTGCGTGTTAAAGAGGCCAGCCAGCAGGGAGCTAAGAGTACACCAGCTAGATTCGAGTTCGACCAGGAGTCCCTCGCCGTGCAGCCTTTCGTCCAATTTATCTTACCGTTCGAAGTCGTTGTCCACCGTCTCGGGCAGACCTCGTTCGAGATTAGACTCCCTCGGGCATTTCTCGACACCGCCGAGAAGAATTTATCCATTGGAAAACGCGAACCATTTCCCGAGTAAGCTAGAGGATGGATCGATCAAAGAACAGGCTCCCGTCGTTTTCGACGCTAGCCTCAATTTCGTACTCGGCTGCGACATGCAGAGGGTCAGGCAATCGTTTAGGCCCACCGCTTCTCATCTCGAGCCAACTACTGCATCCTCCTACTTATCCGAAAAGATCTCGCAGTTCCTCAAAAGAACCGATCATGTGATGGACGAATGGAGAAGCTTGGGCCATAAGAACGAGGCCGATAACGCGTTGACCAGCCTACCGTCCACGCCACGACCGATCGACGCACCTAGGAACTTCATGGGTAGAAGCCAAAGCGCTACTAACATTATGATACGTGGATTTCAATATTATAGTAGAGCGGACAGCGTCGCGAGAGGTTGTTCTTCTAGGCGGTCTCTGTCGCGTGCTTCGGAAGACAGAACTATATCGGATAGTATCGGTCATGAGGTATATAAACTCAGTCTTTTAATTCCTATGCTTTCAGGACACCCTTCGATTGCTTACAACACCTTCCAAATAAATCTATTGTTTACACACACAAGGTGTGTCACGTTCTTCACCGTTCACGTCTCCTTAAACGAAGCGATTCAGACGCAAAATGAAACAGAGTTAGTATGAACATGGAGTTAAAAATAAATACTTAACCAGCTATAGTGTACAGCGTACAGCGGCTGAAACAGTTATTTGTACGCTCGTATTTTTCTCATCATTTTATGCGAACGAACGGCATACCGATTCAACCTCGTTTCTCGGCTCTCCTCGTTTCACTGCTCGCAGGGACAATATGTTCGTGTCCAGGTGTTCACTATTTAACATGTCATCGTTGAAAAGTGACGCATAAAGAACGAAAAACTCGTTCAATATTTATACCCAACGCAACGCGATTAATCTATGTGGGCTGTTGCGGTTTTCTAATAACTTTTTACCTGCTTAAGACTCACTCTATGAACTACTTTCTGAATTTTTTATCATTCCCGAGACATTTTTATTCAATGTTTCTCTCGTGATTCCATCTTTATGAGTCCTCTATTGGATTCGCGTCTGAGAATTGCGATCACATAATAAATTCTCTGTTATTTTTTCTCCGTTGTTTCGGTAGACTTATTGTTAGAACCGCGCTTCTGTTACAAACAATACCTTCGTCTCATCGTGTTCCAACATCGATGAAAGCTGTGATTTATTTCGCTGTTGCGTCAGTAGAATATTTTGATCGCGAAATGCGGTGTTCCGTTTCCACTTTTCATCTATGTTTCAGCGCCAATGATCATTTGCTTAAACAATGATTATTATTAGCCGTTAGCATTTGCAAGTAGGTTTAATAATTATATAAAATAGGATTCATCTTATCAATTTCCATCATCTTGAAGTATGTTCCAAAAGTAAATCTTCTGAGTAATTTTGTGTATTTATAAATAACAGTCGTTCAATATTAAAGTCGAAGATACAGTGGAACCTCGATTACCTGATTTAACCCTTTGCACTCGAGAGGTGACTTTCACTCCCCACTTGATTTCATACAGTAAAACTCTAACATTTGATATTTAATATTATACCTCGTATAATGCATCAATTTGAGAAATATTGAAATAAAATAGCCTTCTTCCTCAATGTACGTGTGATTTCTCTTCTAGTTAGTTTCACAAAATATCGTCTTGATCTCATCAGAAAATGTTCAAATATTTCTAGTGAAAAACTTCCGAGTGCAAAGGGTTCATTGGGCGACTAACGGTCGAAACATGCTTGCCAAATTGGAAGCATGCTTGCAAAATTCCATTGTACATGTTCTCAGGCATAATCCGAGGATCCAAATGATTACGTTTATTGATAAATAAAACTTTGTGCGGTGTAGATCGCGAAAATCGAATACAAATTGCTTTGTTTTCAAAAATTTCATAGTCGTTCGATATAATAATCTCAATTATAAGTCATACACCGTTATGTTACAATTTCGTGTTTGTATTCTTTACTTTGTATGTTTGTATGTATAATCCAAGTTTACACTTATTATTACACATTTTATCATTTCGCGTAAATATTTACACGTTATAAGACAGTAATACTCGTGACGCAATTATAATTTAACTTATTCTAAAAAGCCTAATTCAAATCTGCAAGCAACGCAATACGTGGTATTAAAAATACTTTCGTATATATGCATGTATCTGGAACGAAAGCTGAGCGGTGATTCCATGTCACATAAAACCGCTCAGGAGATTGACCCTGACAGTATTTGAAAATCATTGAGTTCCCTAGTCTATGCGGTGTGTTCCACAATATGCAGTCATAAATTTACTGTTAGATTCAGCACTCTAAAATAAGAAAGTTCGCATAAATGCTTCCTTTCGTTCGTATAAATCCTATCTTATTTCTAAATCGCGATCATATTTATTTTCTAACAGTTCTTTTGATAATCCACGCTTTTTATTTAATGACCATGTACAATCTTCCTGGCTATTGTGCAAATAATGTCTTCTAAATTGTGAATCAGTTATGCTATGCTATATTATGTTATGAATCGAATCAATACATTCATTTGTAACCGTATTCCATTTCGTATCGGTCAATTAACGAAACAATTGTTAAATGAATAACACCCAAATTACTAAGTCGGTCTTGAGGAAGTAATTAACTGGTTAATCTTAATAATCAGATTTAAATCCCTAAGATTTTTATTTATGAGGTTACCTGAAGATTTTCATTTATGATAGTACAAAAGTAGGTAAGGCTTGCATACTGTAGAAATTATTATAAATATTATTCAGGACTGTCAACGAATTCGGATAACACGCGATAATTTTGAGCAGTTCGAAAAACTAATAATAAGCACGTCTAGGAATTTGTATTTATCAACCGAAAGCCGATCACGTCGAATAATTTCTATGAAAACGAATGAATAATTGGTGGTTTAGAAACGCTTATAACTCAGGAACAAAGTCAAATGTAACAAACATTTGTACAAACTTTCTTATTTTCGCGTATCGAATCAACAGTCAAGATATGCTCTCCTGTTTTACTACAATCTTTGTATAAAGTCCTATTCGATATAGTTATCATGGGATTCTTTGCTACTTTAACACGACCACTTGAACGTGCAAATATATTTTTATCCACGGTGTGTTCATATGAGGTGAAAGATCGAGAGTTTCATTAACATTTTGACTGCCAACACTCATCAAAACACCTATGCAGTCGGAACTAGTTTTCTTAATAAAGCAGAAACTAAAGAGTCGAGATTCTTCGTAACGATTACTTTACTACTTGTCTTATATCTCATAGATCCAATAAAACTTAGTCCGTTCCATTCGTCATCAGGAAAATTAATGTCCAAGTTTCTGTGGAAAATAATGTCTCCCGAATTCGAGTGACGTGGTGGTAAAAGTATTAAACACAGTTTTCTTCGAGCGTAATGTTTCTAGTAGTGTACTTTTAGAACGTGGGATATCGATAATTCAGTGTAAACTGAAAAAAACATTCTCTCCACGTATACGTAAAGAGAATAACATTGCATGGAATGTGATTCTTGAAACGAAGATTTCCGTTCTGTGCCAGAAATACACATAAGACCAAAGCTCAGAAGTTCATTAAATTTGAAAAATATTACTCGCCACGTTTGGTAAACCTTTCCTTAATTGATATTCATTTGATTTGGGATTTGCGTAACTTTTTCAGAAATTGTTCGAAAGTAATACCGCTAAAGCAAATACACAACTGATTTAATTAATCGTCGAGGAACATGTTCGTGACCACAAACCATATATTTAGTATGTGGTTATTTTTATTAATATAAATAAATAAGACAAATATAGATAAAATATATATAAATAACTGTATAAATGTAAATTAATATATATATTTTATTAATATAAATAATATTTAGTATATTTCGATGAAGTTAATGAAATAAATGTATCAGTTTTCGCATGTACCAATGCGATATTTACCATTAGCCACTGCACTGTGTAACCCCAAATATATTTTCTTTCAGTTAAGCGAAATGTCCGCCGAATTTGCCGAAGAACATTCGACTTCGACATTGGCAGCGGAGAGGATTAACGCGGAAACGTCCGAACGTTTGCGGCTGGAGAAAGAGTTGCAGGACGTTACTGAAACAAATAAGAATCTCCAGCAAGCGACAGAACGTCTAGAAATGGAGCTATTGTATGCGAGGGCTGCTGATTTAAATGGTGTCGTATCCGACGTGGAGGACGGCGAAGATGGCGGTGTTTACAAACAGCGATACGAGCACGCTGTCAGAGAGCTTGAGTTCACTAAAAGAAAAATGGCGCAGCAACACGAAGACGATCTTGAACAATTAGTAGGACTTAAGAAACAGTTGGAGAAAAAGGTACGTAAGAGGAATTACGTAATACTAATTGAAATTATCAATTCATTCATTTACAAAATGGTCGACTTCTACTATATCAACACCCTTCGATTTCAATGATTTTTTAACACATTGCGTACAACACTCTGCTCCCTCGATGCATTCGCAAGGCCCGCACATTTTTCAGCGCTCCAGAGACGTGGTATAATTTATATATGCACCTTCTTCATACAAATTTCAGAAATATTTTTAACCCTTTGCACTCGGAAGTTTCTCACTAGAAATGTTTAACATTTTTTAATCAGGCGAAGACGATATTCCTTGAAACTAACTCGAAGGTAAATCACAAGTGCATTGAGGAACAAAGCTATTTTATTCCAATATACACTTGACCCTCGATTTACGCGAAAATCGAGCCTGTCGGTACAAGAGAAAACAAAGTATTGAAGAGAAAAGCTGGTATAAGTTTTAGAAATACATATTTATTTGACATAGCTTAACAAAATAAATAACAGTAATGACATTCTAGAAAACAATAATATATTTTATTCGCTGTTACTAAATTCAAATCACGTAAATTGATATCGCGCGTAAGAACTATCGCGTGAATAGTGTTCCAATTTACCGCGTAAAAAAAGTCCGCGTAAATCGAGGGTCAGGCGTATCACGTATCCAGGCTTTATACAGAGTTCAACATTAACACTAGAACTACCGAACAGTAAAACCGATTATTCTGTATTTCCTTATAGAATGTGTAAAAATACATTTATTGAGTTCTGTATTTCCTTATATCCTATTACGTTTGTGTTCATCTAAATCAATTTACTGAATAATTTCTCAAAACGTCGTCTGTGCCTTTTGCATAATTGCGAAAGAAGTATCACGAAATGGGTCATTTCGACGCATCTGGTAGTTCCAGTGTTAAATATCAGATTTTATAGTTTTACCGCGTCAAATCAAATGGTGATTGAGAATTGCCTTCCAAGTGCAAAGGGTTAAATATTAATACATATATATCTCTTATACATCTATTTATTATATAAACTTTTTTACACTGTAATTATTATTTGTTATATAAGTAAAATTAGATCGTTGATACGTATTTATGAAAAAATAAAAGAGATATCCCGTAACCCGTACGCAATGTGTCAATATATTGTCAACGACATGATTTTGAACAACTTTTTCCTTGCGCATGATCCGAGGAAATCTCTGCTTTTCGAGATAATCCCGAAAAACTTTGGCTACGTTGGATTCATAAAGAAACTGCGTAACATTATACAATTTACTATTTAATACTATAGTTAACAGACGCTTACGAAGAAGTTGAAGAGCAACGTCAAGTTGTCGGGCAATGGAAACGACGTGTACAAAAACTGAATGGTGAAATGCACGACGTGAGACTGTTATTGGAGGAACAAACGGCCAGGAACAACCTCTTAGAAAAGAAACAACGCAAGTATGTAATATTTGACATTTTAATACTACTTCTGAACTTCCTATTTCTATAATATCCTCTTTGTAATTAGTTTAGTTTTCATTGTTATTATGGACAATATCATTATCATTATTTATTTATTTGTTTATTTATTTATTTATTTACGGGACAAAACCGTTATTATAGTTATAGTACAATAATGTTTAATATTATAGTTGTAATATATAGCATATACGCATGTTAAAAGAAAGCAGCTTAAACTAGCAAGGGACAGTGATACTAAAATATTCAATTAATATTTCCTATTCTTTCTTTCCATTTACAAAGCTATTAGTTACGAAGATAATAATTATTTTTTTTATTTTAAACATTAAAAAATATTAGCTGTGTCCATTACGTTTAACACTTTGCGGACGAAGATTCTTTGAAATGTACAAAACCTTTAACAGATGAAGCTAAATTATATATCAATTGCATAATTGATAGACCAAAAGGAAACCACGTGCTGATTTCTTGATATTCGTGTAATTAAATCATTTTTTTTGTGATTTAGTCTTCGAAGTATGAAAACTTCATCTCGCCGGCATGTCGAAATTCGTCCGCAAAGGGTTAATATAGCGTAAGCATCGTCCGTTGCAGCGAATTTGGCACTCTCGTCTAAGTGGTCAGATTCGAAGACGCACGTCTAGCCCATACAAATTTTCGGTTCTGGTATATGATTCGCTGAGGCGCTCATACACGCTAATCAGATCTTGCGACAAAGAGTGGGATGAGACGTATCCGGACTCGCAATTGGATTTCTCGGAGCGACTGTATCCGCCCCTATGACGTCACGAGTGCCAGGTTCGCTCCAATGAACGATACTTACATTGGAATTCTGAGTTGAAAAGACAATGTTTATAAATATATATTTACAAACCAATCCAAGGAATAATTCTGAAATTATTTTCATGAAAATTTTATCGAATAAAAGTAACATAAAAGAGCTTCATAAAAATTGATTCAAATTTTCTGAATATTCTACTTTGCACATTAATGTTTTCTATAGTTACATGAAATGTGTCATCTACTTATGGCGAACGAACTGAAACAGGAATTAGAATCGTTTGTGAAATTTTCTGTGTGCATTATCTGTTTGGTTAAAATATAAAAGACTGTTTCTATAGTAATAAGATTTCACACGTTGAACTGTTTTATATAACAGATAGAAAACAAAAAGACATGATTGTCCTTTGTTAATTTTGTTAATTTCAAAATGCATTTTGCTATGAAATTAACATAGCAAAATGCACAAAATGGAAAAAATATAATATTAAATAATTTGATTTGGTTGAAATGTTATCAAATAATCGTCTTTCAATTGAATGAACTATAGCAATCCAATTTGATTGGGGATCACTGCTGACCCTCATGGCATTCAACGTGTTAATTATTTTGCTACCACGATCCTTACGTTACACTGTTATCTAGTTATTTATGCTGTTGAACATTTTGATTTGATGTCGGTTGTCTTATGAATTATAATTGTTTTCAAGTGATTTTAAAACTCCGGTCACCGGTGACCACCATGGCAGCCAACGTGTTAAACACAGTACCGAATTTTCACAGTATCGGGAGAAGCTCTATTCTCATTTCATCGGTCGGCAACAAGTGTTTCTGGCACCTGGCCAGGTCGCTAACGTTGCGCGTCCGACAACATCACCGTTTAGTCAAACGTTCGGTGGGTGCATAAACTCCGAATGATTACTCCACGAATAGATCTACGGTCGCCCTGAAACTAGGAGCTCGTTACGAATTTCAAGGAAAACAAGTATTCAGTGCATGGTCCATAGTTAATCGCAATTAGACTGCACATATTTATGTAAATTTATACCGTATTGAACTGATTTATGAAAAACGAAAATTAAATGGAACACTTATTGTTCTATGTTTCAAATTTTAGTCCATCTTTTATTATGTACTCGTTATCATTTACTATTCGTTTAATTGCCGTGTTGTTACGAATAAAATGATAACTATACGCGTTGAACATTCAGGGAAATCCGTGTTTACCGGCATAGTTGTTATATAAAATTAAAATCTTTTAAAATAATGCAATGAATTTCAATTTGACTCTTTAAATAAATTTGTAACTTCCATTTTTTCATGAACACTTTTCTTTAGTCTCCTTGTTAGTTATGTGTCACATCCACGAGGACACCTTCTCGCAACTGAACATCAATTGGGTATGGTTTAGGAATAGGGAACCCTTATACACCGTATAAAGAATTCTTCAAATTAGATAACAGGTGGAAAAACATCCAAAGACGTAATGTGAGATCAAAGAGAAATCAAGACCGAGGAAGTTGTAATTAACACGTTGACTGCCACGAGAATTTCGAGCGTTTTATTATAGTAATATTTATTCCTTAGTAATAAAGACAAATGGTATTAAAAATAATTATTAATGATTCTTATTGTAATTGTTTCCAAGCAATTTGAAAGCTCCGGTCATCAGTGACCACCGTGGCATTCAACGTGTTAAATTATATTACTGTTTAGACTTCCAGTCTAAATTATTAACAATTATAATACATGGATAACGATGTATGAGTATCAGACTCCATCATTTTCTCTCGAAAAGTTGTTCTGGTTTATCCGGCTGCCTCGCACGTACCACTATTGGCAGATCGTTATGGTTCAGACAAATTTAACACTTCAACGACCGCTGTTACATAGTCGACGGTTATCGATTGGTGTCCTGTAGGTGCGACTGTGCACTGCTATTTTCAGATGTCGAATAAAAGTAATTTTGGGCCACGGATTTGATGTTCGTATGTTAACACATCGAATGCCAATGATTTTTGAATGTTTTTACGAAGCAAAATACACCTATACCTCGCTATACGCCCGCTCTTTATACGGCATTTCGTTATAACGGCCTTCTGTTTCTTAATTTATATGTTCACTTCTTGAATTTCTGTTTATTATTACATTGCTTTATACTTTTACCTTTATGTAAGCATTTTTATAGGAAATAAAAAGAATAAAATGCTTTATGAACTGAAAACTCTATTATTTTATGAAAAATTGGAACAGATCCAATTGAATTTGTATGTCCTTGCGGACGAAGATTCTTAGAAACATACAAAACCTTCACTAGATGAAGTTAAATTATACATCAATTGCTTAAACAATAGAAAAAAGGGAAAGTATGTGCTGATCTCTTGCTGTTCAAGCAATTAAATTGTCTGTTTGGTACTTCGTCTTCTAAATGCGAAAAGAAATGCAAATAAAATTTGCAGTTCAACAATATTCCTCACAAAGTCATTCGGCGTAATGGAGCAATGTTGTAAATCAACGAGCGTTCATATAATCGGATCAACGTGAATTGCGGGTGCACGGCACGGTCGCTCAGATTTAGTTGAACGATGACTAGCGATTTGCGTTGACATAACTCATGTCCTAAATACTTTACGCGTTGGCATATAAAACATTCTATAGTGTTATGCTATTCTATGTTATGCTATGCTTTATTAACCAAGAAGCATCGATCTTTTACAAAAAATGTTTGTTTGAATGTCGAAGTTACCCTTAAACACGATATTGATCAGTGAATTAGTATCGAACGGAAGGGCTAAAACAAGGTGATATCTATGAATGTGATTATTATGTGGAAATATTATTGGTCAAAATAAACTATTTGAATTGTTTAAAAATCGACTTTGCAATTAAAAATTTTGAGGAAATTCATTGATATGCAGCTTAATATGTAGCATAATAGCTTAATATGTAAAATACTTTTTGCATAATTTTTTAGCGAGTAAAACAAAAGATATGAAGATTAAATCATAAATTGCTTTTCACCCCATAGCTATTCTAATAGAAGGGGTGGTGGTTTGAAATTTGATACAAAGGGATTTTCTCGAAAGGTCTGTCGGATGATGTCAATCCATTTGTTTTGGAGCATTTTCATCTCCCTTATTCAGCTATACCATTTCATGAAATTGTTATATTTTTTTAAACGGATAGCGAAAAGATAACCATTATGATTGTTAAATTGCGAATCTTAATGCAAACTTAAATTTTTAAGAATGTAATTTAAAAAGAAGACTGCATCGGGTCACTTACTTCAAAGTCGGGCTTCATCGCTATAACAAATTCATCACATGACATTTAAAAACCAGTTCGACTAGTTAGTAATGTTAATTTTCATTCATAAAAATATAATTAAATATACCTGCCCGTAAAATTATTATTTCAACAACCCAATCTTTACATTCTTGTGGCTATTTATTTTTATAATTCACGTATCTGTTACATGTGTTATTATAAATGCATTAAATCTACAATCTAGTTAAGTAGTTTGTAAAATGTACTATACTCTATTACTGCCTTTTTTTCTCTTAACAATAATTTCAGATGTATAGGAGACATTAGGGATCTGTTTATCAGAACTATATTATTTCACTTTCCAAATTGAAGTTGCACTATTCTTCAGTTAAGCATATTATACTTAAAATCTAGAGTTTAGATTTATTTATAAGTGTGTAAAATACATTAAATTATAGATTCATTATTAAACAGAAGTAACAAACGATTCTATTATATATTCTTTAGTACGTTCGCATTTCCTACTAATTTCGAAGTACTCATAAGTTTTACATTCGTCTTTAGTCATTCTTAACCGTTTAAGTAATTTTATAAGTCGTCTAATTGAAGGTTTGTTTAATCAGGTTCGATTCGGAAATGCAAAATTTGTTAAACGATATCCGACAAGAAAAAGCACAGCGAGAAAAATTGACGAGGGAAAAAGAAATAGCGCTCGCTGAAAAATTTACCATAGAGCAAAATTTGAGCGTGAGTACATTTATTTACACCTTTTTATTAGTTTCTCACTTGTTTTCATCTGGATCGCGGTGAATTATGTGCATTACTAGAAGCAATTATTGCGCAACTTGAACATGTAACATCTCGATTCTTGTATAGTACTTAATGTTAACATTGAGACATTATTTTTATCGCCGTAATTGCGTGACCGACATTTATTAACGATCGTGCACGTAAGGTATATTATCATTTCAAAAGTCAGCATTCTACAGTGCTTTTATCAAACTTCAGTGAATGTTCGGAACAAAAGGAACGATAACTCGGTATCGTGAATGTAAAGATATTTTTATACATACACGTTCAATCATAATAAAAATTGAAAGTTAAACGGTTAATTGTATCAATGTTACTGAAATGTATAAGGAGCTTAAAAATGTCGAGATCCGCAATTTGTACATTTGTATGTGATATTTGCGCAACGTATACTTCCAGTAGTGTGTACACTTCACGTCGAATATCATTCAATTCTACACATATCACAATTTGTCTCATATTGCTTGTTGTTTTTCGTATGCAGGATGCGAGACTAGAGATCGAATTAAAAGAAGAAAGATTGCGCACGTTAAGTCAAGAATTAGAAGAGTTGACGTTTGGTGGAAAAACTGAAGAAGAAGTAGCGCAGTTAAAGAAAGCTAAACACGAGCTGGAAAAACGGGTGAAAGATCAAGAGGAAGAACTCGACGATCTTGCTGGTCAGGTGCAACTTCTCGAACAAGCGAAGCTAAGACTGGAAATGAATTTTGAGCAACAGCGTAAAGAAATGCGTAAGGAAATGCAACAGCGAGACGACGAATTGGAAGATATACGCGGTAACGTACTTAAAAAGGTCAAAGCTTTGGAGTCACAATTAGAAAATGAGTATGAGGAAAGGACCATTCTTCTTCGTGAGAAACACGAATTGGAACGTCGCTTGGTAGCTATAGAAGATCAAGACCGAACCGAACGGGCTGCGGAGGCTGAAACTGTGCATAGGTATGTGTGCAATAACAAATAAGTAATGCTGTCATTTGAAATCATATTGATTTTAATATTAGTAGCCAGCGATGAGTACCGGTAGAATTTTATAATTGATGGAATATCTATCAATAATTATACTAATTGTATACTCTGTAACTTTTGTTTGACACATTTGTTCATATCACTGCTATATTATATATAAGAAAATAATAAATATACACGCACGCGCGCGTGTCAAAGAAAAGTTACACAGTATAAAATACTACATATCAGAGCAGGAAGTATTTGACCTTGGCATGACCTTGAAATGTCCTAGTAAGGGCATGTGACAATTCTGAAACAGAACCCTATATTTTTGAAGCCGACATTCAGACATTTTCAGACCGTAGACATGAAATTTTCTGCTTAAGCTGTTATTAATTAATAAATACTTAATATACCCACTTATGAGATGTATCAATTATTTTTAATTTTGTTTACTCGTTCATTTTTAAATTAATAGATTACATTTTATTACATTCGGCAACATCAATTAATTATAACTTTAAAATATCGTGAAAGTGTGATAGTAACAATCAGTTATACATTTTTAAATAATGAAAAGTCACATTTCATAATAAATGTGAAGGATACTTTATGAAAATCATCAGATAAAGATGATTAAATAGAATATTATAGAATATAATTGTAAGAGCATTCAACCCCTACTTTAAATCAAGTAACCGAAAACGAATATGTTACAGTGACATATGTGATTTGTATTATAGGTTGAAGAGGGATCTAAAGAGGACAAAGGTGCTGCTTAGAGACGCTCAGACCATGCTCGAAAGATCTAAGAGCGATTCAACGGGCAAGGCAGCTTTGCGACAATTAAAAAATCAATTGGAAGACGCGGAATGCGCTCGAGCAACTGCAATTAAAGCGAAACAAGCATTGGAACAAGAATTGAATGAAACGCAAGCGTCACTGGAAGAAGCATTACGACAACGCTCCGAAGCTGAAGATCGTGCTAATGTAGCCAATCGTGAGAGAACTGAATTGCTTTCACAATTGGAGGAAAATGAAGAAGAGCTCGCAGAAGTAAGCAGATCCCTATTTAACACGTTAACGCTAGATTTACGGACATTTATTGTACAGTTTATTCTATTGTTCCCAGAAAGATTGATGTTCGTCCGTTTAGATCTAGGAAATGAAATGTTTAAAAATGTATTATTAGGAACCATAATCACGTAATTGAATCAATTAAAATCAACCCAAACATTTACCCAATAATGTTTATAAAACTCAACATGAGTCAAATCGGCTCATTCCGTAAATCTAGTGTTAAGTGCCCAGCCCGGTTTGCTTGCCGTTCCGTTCAGGCCCATTTTTTTATATTGCATTATTTTTCTTAAAGCATTGATTGAACAAAAACCGATGTCCTCTAAGCGAAATCTTTAGTCTCAATCAGTATGCAAAGGCAGACCCGTGCGGTGCTGTAACATGAACCTAAAATCTATGGCCGATCCTTGAGGACCGGCGAGGCCCGAACGAAAAGTCTAATGCCAGTCCGTAGGGACCGGTGTGACGCTTGACGTGTTAATTATCGTGTTTACATTATTCAACCCATACGTCAATATGCAATTACTATTAATACATACATTCCTTCTCCTCCTTTAAGTTTCAACTGTTATAAAGAATGATAAAATCAGGATCACTTTCTTAGAAATCAAGTCGAATTTTTAAATTTATTTTCAGAGGAGATTCGATTCCTTCTAACGAGAACTCATTATAAAATCATAGAAATCACCGCAGATGTTTAGTTTCAATACATCCACTAAAATTTATAGAACCTTTATCATTTAAGTGGAATATACTATTTGAAATCCAATTAATAATTTTGTTTAACACAGGATATATTTAATTTAACTAGGATCCCTTAAAAAATATCAAGAATAAAACTAGAAGAAAACTAATTCCATTCAATTTAAAGACCATAATATCCGAATCTATTTTTTAAAATTCTTTTAATTAAAATGATTGGAGTGATTAAATAGTATCGTTAATTTTAGATAGTAGTTATAAGACTGTTTTAAATAATCAATTCGTTTCTCTTTATGAAAAACGTATTTTGTTGGCAAAAAGACTGTTTCATAATGTAATTGTTAGTTTAAGAGTCAAAAGGAGAAATAATTCATAATCGATGTTTCAAACTGTCTGTTAACGTATGTTTATAGGTCTTGAAAAAATATCGGGCGGCGGTTCAGCAAGTGTCAGCGGAACAGGGACAGTTGCAGGAAGCTCAGGTACAAATTGCCGCTTTGGAGACGGAAAAAACTTCGCTGAAAGATCAACTTTCGGAACTAACACAACGATTGGAGTCCGTTGAACAACTTGGTGATCCTACAGCGAATAGTTTAGCCACGAGACGTCTCGAGTTTCGTGCCAAAGAGCTTGAAAGCAAATTAGAGCTGGAACAAACGACAAGAGCACGTTTAGAGGTAATTTTTCATTTACCTATTTAGAAAATTAAATTATGATTGGACTTAAAGACTTTATACGCTTAATTCTAATCGTATAATACGTCATCTATCGAACTTTCATTGTGTACTGACAACGATTATAAGTATCATTTGGTACTTAACAATAAATTGTGACATCATCAGGTCAAATAATTTATCGTGGATTTAATTACCTTATTGAATACACATGTAACAATAAGAAATAAGTAATTAAAACTTTATGTCGAATCTATGTAAAGATTAGTATTATGCAGTGAGATCCCATATTATGTGCAGAATTTTCATGTAACAATTACTACGGAAATACAATCAACATTAATTATAGAAATAAATTCAGTGAAATACAATAAAATTTTTATTGTATTTGAAATACTATAAATCTCTCGATAAACATGGAAAACTTAGAAAATTTACAATTTGGTTATAATTTTGTAAAAGCTATTATTATCTTACATAAAAAGTCTCAAATAATTCAAGAATTTGCGTGTATGTAATTATTATAATTGAAATTTTAGCGTGCATTATAAATGTGCATTTTATATGAGAATTTGAATACATAATTACTCGAATGTTTTGTAGTTGCTAATATTATTAAAACACCTACAATTTTTTAATTTTTATTTGTTAAATTATAATTCTCCTTGTAATTATGATACAATCAAAAATATTCTCTCCTATCATTGTTATTTCGAAACTGTTTGTTGTGATTCAGTGATAGATAAACAAATAAGTCAGATAAGTTCAATTTTATTGATTTGACAATTAAGGGAGAAAGATTCGTTTATAAAAATCATTTCCATAAAAATTGTTCGCAGTCACCAACGTTTCAATGTCACATTTCATAAAATATATGAAATCAAATCTTTTTATGTAACATTTATTGTTAAAGAAAAACTTTTTAATCATCTTCACCAATTGTAATGTTTCTATTTTGTTGCAGACGCAAATAACGAGGTTAAAAGAGAATGTTGAAAAACTGCAAATCGAAACTGCATCACTGAAAACAAAAGAGCAAACTGCTCAAGAAACTGCAAGACGATTACAAAGATCGTTACGTGAGGCACGAGAAGAAGCTGCTTCGTCATTAACTCGTGAACAAGAAGCGACCCGTGCTCGTCGCGAATTAGAAAAATGTCTTGAGGCTGCAGAAGCAGAGACCAAAGTGGCCAAAGACGATCTAAGACTAGCACTTCAAAGAATTGATGATTTGCAAAGTGCGATTCAAGGTGATCTTGATTTGGACTGCAGTGAAGAGGCAACGACTGAAAACAGTGATAGGTAATGATAGATAGTAGATAACACATACAGCATGTTAAATAATATTTTGATTAATAATTAATGACACCTTTATGTAAACGTATAGTATAAGTACCTATGGATTTAAAAGTAATGAATAACATAGAAAGTATAACTCTCTCTACTTTTATTTATATTTACATTTTTACAATAAAAATATTTCTGTTTCTTTTCCTGTGTGTGGGTTAATTAACGTATCTACATAATTAAAACATAATTGGAATATCCTTTTTATTATTATAATAGCGAAGAATCTATTTTGCTGTGTGGTAATGTATTACCATTAACTAAGAATGATCAGGAGAAAATTATATTTTCTAGGTATCCTAAATTTTAACTTTTATAAGATTAGATAAAAGAATTATTACAATATTTATTTTGTTTCTAGTGATTGATCCGCACCATTATCGGATTTTGAGTCCGATGAGAGCAAGAATGAAGATTCGACTGCTATACCCACTGTCGAAGGACTTCCTAATAAATCGTTACTTTCTGATGCATCAATTATAGATTAGCACGAATTGAAAGGTGCAAGGTAAAATGAAAGAGCTGGTTGATGTAGGGTGATTAGGAAAGGAAGATCTATACTCTGAAAGGTGAAAATATTGGTCACCCAAAGAAAAAAGTTCATGTGAACGAATCAAAGAGACCAAATCAAAATACTAGAATTTACAATAAATTTTGGAAAACACAGCAACAGTAACATCAATGTACTTCATATCTTGTATACGAATTACTTTTGCGATATTGAGAACACTTTGATGTTTCTAATCTACGAAGTAATATTTAAAATATGTACCAATTTGTGTAGGGTTTCCATTTTTCTCGCATAGATTTCACCTTTCATCCATCCTCCATAACCGAAAATTGAACACAATAAAATGTGAAATATTGTTGTGTTGTTAGCAAAAAGAATAAATTTTTCTTTCTCTGTATACACTCCTCCTCGGTTGAACATGTTGCAATTAGTATCCAATATTTTATAACTGTGACAGATTTAACAATTATGTGATCAAGATTAGTTATGCTTAAGCATAGAAAAGGAGAGCGAGAATATATTGGTAATAGTTTCATAAAATATATACAAAGTAAGACAACTTTTACACCGAATCAATAATTTACACATTAATTTAATACGTGACACGCTTTCAAGTGTAATATTCCCTCCATATAACGATGCCTCTTGGCTCACGTAACGCGAATGTAGGAAGCAGTAGTAGATACAGTTTCAGGTAACTCTTATCTATTTTATCGACAGAAATAATGAGGAACAATCAAAGATAAACAAATAAGTTCTTCTTTATTAAGAACATTATTAAACTCACAAGAACCTCAAAATGTTATTAATGTTTTTATTATAATACTTACTTTGTTTTATTTTACACTCGTCATTACATTGCAAATGTTTATGGATGCATATCATATCTGAATAAGTAAAATACAATAAGTTATTTTGTCTAAGTATAATATGGTCGGGATGTTTATGATGGCGGTGTCATTATGAAGATGTCGACGTAGAGTAATTATGAAAAAAGAGCAACGCATCTCTCCTTTCTTATGTTCCCATTATGCTTAGCTTTCAACTCACAATTAATTATAAAAAAAAAGTAAGTGACATATGACGGTGTAATATAATAATCGGGGAAATGTATAACAGTTTTATTGAACATTTACCTCTATGTTGTCGTTCAGAACTGACCACATGTTCATATGAATGTTTTTTTCGCAATTATTAGACTGTGGGTGTTTATGTAAATACAGATTTTTATGGATTAATTTACAGAATTTGGAACCAAAAATATATTTATTTATTTCATGAAAGATTTTATTAGGTTCCGAATCAAGTAAGAACTTCAATTGAAGTTCATTAAACTTTCTGCCGTATTAAATTTTACACACATTCACATACATATACATACACGTATGCATTAAATACATAAAATCTACAGTCAAGTAATGATCAATGCTATCACCTAACGAAGTGTTAATTTTCGCTTCCGAATTACTCTATACCCTTATACATACTAGCTTAGGATAAACAAAATTAGTTACTCATTGTCAACGTTATCATCACTGCCGAATAGTATCAAAACATTATCTGCGCGATAACGAATGGAATCGAAGAGTAAACATTAAATTGTGAATTATCTTTTATAAAACTTTATGGACAGTAGACTGGAGTGCTTAGATGAAGGACGGGAGCAACGAAGGAAATCAATACAAATACTTTGTATGAACGTCTAAGTGATCAACTTGCGGCTCTTTCGCTTGCCGAAACAATCAACAAAGTTTCTAGGTGCTAACTATAATTCCCAGTCAACGTGTATGTAACGGCTTTTGTACTTTACTTTGCGATGTGCGTTTCGACGATATTTTATCCGATAGTAGTTGTCGTCGGCATTGTCGATCTTCCAGTCTTCCAAAGGATTACGAACTTACGGATATCGTAGCGTCGGAACGCTCGCTCTCACACGTTCGATAATCACACCATAGCCTTTTAATAACATTGTATACATGCAGTTTGTATGTGCTACGCAATGGAGACCGAAGCTATAATTCTTTGTAAACAGAAAAAGAAACGTGCTCTACGATTTTTAACACTTCGCTACCGAGTCAACTATGTTGATTACTCTTTACAATTTGTATTATATAATACGAGTCATAACTTCCTTGGTTTCTCATAAAAGATAGTCGTGTAACTTATTGCTTTGTAAAATGCAGATACCTTATTTAATTAACTGGGCTACCCATTTCTTTTCTAAGTCCTACTTATTATGACAGTTGTTGTCTGTATAGAAAATTAAACTTTTGCACTCTCACTTACCTACTCATAAACTAACCACCTATAAAAATAATTGTGTGGAATCATTACTGAACCATCATTATTTTATAAGATTATTATTGTCGAGCACAATACTGCTAGACTGTGGACGTTCAGGCGAAAATAAATTTCAATGAATCAATTCGCAGAAATTACAGTCAGAACAATATTTATTCACTTCAGCAGAGGTATAGTATCTTTTCCAAATTCGATGAAAACGTTATTAAGTTTTTTTATACTTCTTACTACATGTAACTCTTTTTTTAAAACTCTTACATGTAACAACCGCGTAAAGTTCATGATCCGTTAATCCTTTTTAAGTTAACTTTCCATTAGCGGACACCAGGACACACTCACTGGAGGACAAATACATATTTTTCACCTATTATTTATAATTATATTTCCTTTTCCCTACAATTATTATGTCTTGTTGGAATTTAAAAAAGAATACACAGGATAAGGTACAACATTTTTAAGAGCGTATAATTAGTCAGAATGTACTAATATTAATCAGAATGGCATAAACCTAGTTTTGTTTATTACTGTCTTGTACTCGTTGTCCGCCTTCTGAGGGTTAATTTTATACAATCATTCGTTTCAAACAAATTGAAATTATTTATGGTGGACGATGTGTGTAGGTGTAGTTTGCAGTGCAAAGGTTTCAAAATAGAAGAACATTCGTTTTTCGTAAGTTTCAGATTAAAAATGAGTTATGATGAAATAAACCCTATTACTTCATCTTTATTATAAAAATGTTGCATAACATTAAAATCCTTGATTGCAAAACTAATTGAAAATCGTTATATATAGAAAACTAAATTAAATGTGCCACTTATTTTAATAAACTTTTTCTTTTTGAAAAAATTAAAGTAAGGTGTTACATTGTATTCGGTCCTTCATCTCCCTTTGATAAAACCATTTTCTCCTTAAATTTAAAGCCCTGTACTGACTTTTTCACGCATACATTTATAATGATGGTTTTCGGAAAGAAAGAAATACAAAGAAAATAAAATATCTGATTACGATCATTTATAATAATTTATATTTTAATATATAATTTCGAAGTGCTAAATAAAAAAGAAAATTGTTTTTACTTCTTATGATATCTTTATCAACTTCTCAACAATTCGTTTGTTACTTAAACTCCCTGTCTATAACGAATTATCCATATATGAAACGTTTTAAATTTACGAAGTACTGTGTTGCGATACTATTCTTCTAAATTCACATAGTCTAAACAAACTGCTTTTAAACAAGATTACGATACTGAACGCGCTAATATTATTTCTGAATTTTTTTTTAACAAAGCTAGTAGATAACAAAGAACACAGGTAATATGAATAGCTACTAGCTGTCTTTTCGTCCGTAAGTATTTCATAAAAAACCAAGATTTTTATGGGGAACATTAAGCAACAGTGGTGGCTCGTAGCTAAAATTAGTGGGGGTGCTGGTCCAGAAAATGTTTAGCCTTTGTTTTAAAGTGTTTGTATCTTTATCATAAACTGGGGAATGACTACTGACATTAACCCCTTGCCCCACAATATCGTGTCAGACTCGTGATGAAGATTTCAAGTAGCATTGAACACACATAAATATTATTTAATTTGTTTGAATACAAATTACATATTATTTCTCTGTTATCAATGATTACACCTTAAAGCTGTGTTTCCCAACGTGGGGCTGTCGCCTCACAGGAGGGCAATTTGATTTTTAAGGGGGGCAATTTGAAATTTGAAATATCACTTCATATATCTCACAATATTTTCGCACGTAAACAAAATAGCAAAAATATTATAATATTAAAAATTATATATATGTTACATAGGGAGGCATAAGAATTTTAGAAAGGCTTAGGTGGGGCATGGCGTAAAAAAGGTTGGGAAACACTACCTTAGAGCACACGTTGACATAGGAAAAGACTGGAATTTTCTCTTAGTTTCAATAAATTATTAAGAACAAAGTAATTAGATAGATCACAGTTTACAAAGAAATCATAGGGCAAGGGATTAAGCTTAAGGATTATATATCGTACAAGTATAAAGAAAGAATTAAAGAAAAAAGATCTCATTATATTAAATGTTATCGACCATAGCAAGTGGAAATTGGGGGTGCTGCAGTTCCACAGTGCCTATACGCGAGCCGCCGCTGTTAAGCAACATTTTGAAACAATTTTCATATACTTTTTATTACAAAAAATCAACAGAGGTCGAAGCCTTACCAACGTAGTCTCCCGGGGATGACGGGTCCCATAGAGCTACTGTTGGTAGCGCCGAGCTTACTTTCCAAAGCTCTACTAATAGCTACTCAGGTTAGTACATACCGGAGCAGATAGGACGCTGCTTTCGCACCGCTTGACCCTGTGCACTTTTAACCCTTTGTACTCGAAAGCTTTTCACTAGAAACGTTCGACACTTTCCAATGAGACATAGATGACACTGTTTGAAACGAACTAATGAAAAAACATACGTCAATTAACCCTTTACACTCGGAAATTTCTCACTAAAAATGTTTAACATTTTTTTGACGAAGCGAAGACGATATTCCTTGAAACTAACTCGAAGGGAAATCACAAGTACATTGAGGAACAAAATTATTTTATTCTAATATTTCACGTATCGAGGCATTACACAAAGTTCAACATTAAATATCAGATTTCATAATTTTACCGCGTCAAATCAAGTGATGACTGAGAGTTACTTCTCCAGTGCAAAGGGTTAAACCAAAGGTCGCTGCTCTAAATGTGGGAATTGCATTGTACATTACACGTGTGACGAATCGCCAATCTAACTGGACAAAATTCAAAACAAACAATTCTTTTGGATTTAGCTACTAACATACATAGAAATATATCAGATATGATGATATCAGGTCACCTTGATTTTTTAAAATGGAATGACCTACTTTTTTTACCATATATCGATGGAATATCAAATTCTGAGTATAAGTGCTGATCTTCATAAGTCCTAAACTTGATAGTTAATAAGGTATTTGCAATACTTTGATCAAAGTATTTTTAATACCTTGAAAAAATCAAAATGACCTTCAAATCTCTAAAAAACATTACATAAAAACAAAAATCTTTTTGGTCTCACATGAACCCAACTGAACCATTCAACTTTGTTCTGAAGACATTTGACGTATCTTTAAAAACAACAAAGATATTTGAAATGTAAACGTTAGGTAACTCACTCATATATATATATATATATATATATATATGTACAGTGAGTCACAGCCAAAATCGTACATCACATATACGAATACGTTTCGTCTCGTGAAAAAATTCAAGAAGGATATGGGGGAAAAAATATCATGAATCTATATTGTAAATGTATCTATATTTATTATGTAGTAGTATCAAAAGGAACAA